CCTAAACCCTGAACCCCAAAACCCATTTCCCATTTCATGCTTTCCCGCATTGAGCCTAAGAGGATCGTAGGTTTTCAAGGGGCAAACTATAGTAAATCATTCTATCAACATCATTCTTCAGGGCCCCTTATGATAAGTATATGGGAGTTTCCGAAAATAGGGGTACCTTATTTGGGGGGGTCCTTATAATAAGGGACCTACTATTTAGGGTACTATATTAGGGCCCCCTCTTTTCGGAAACCCCCAAGTATATTCTGTATATTTAGCTTTAATGATTAAGGCTCCTACATGGCAGCAGCAGCAGCAGCAGCAGCCAAGCCTTAATGCTTATAAGCTGCTGTTTGCAGGTCGAGAAGAAGGACTACTGCATCGACCAGTTTCAAAAGAACAAGCCTGGCGCTCGAACATATTTCGCTTTCGTTCTAGGGCTTAGGGTTTACCTGTAAGTCTCTTTACCTACACTTTAGCAGCCGTTACCCCTGAATTTGTAGGTAGAACCCATAAAACTGTAGGTGGGTAGTTCTCTAAATTAGGGTCCCTTGGGGGGTCCTTTTTATAAGGGTGCCGTACTCTTGTGGGGACCTAAAAAGGAACCCTAATTTAGAGAACTACCCAGGTAGTTCGAGTTCCAGGTAGGGCTTCGCTGGCCTGAGCGACGACTTGAGCTCGACCTGATGAGCTATCGTCTTACCTCTTTAAACGGTTTAGGGTTTAGGGTTTAGGGTTGATCTGGGGGTTCTATCCTGTGCCTAGCTGTGATGAAGGTTATTTCAGTTAAGGGGGTTCTAGGAGTTTAGACTATACCTTAAAAACCCAAAACCCACTTTTTTTGTAGGTTCTTACTATAAGCCCTGATATGGGATTTATAGGGACCCTACAAAAAAGTAGGTTTTGGAAGGTAGCTCACATGCTTTGACAGGCACTTCTCTAAGATTCCCGGCCGCGTCGCAGGCCGACTGTCTTCCAAGTATCAGCCCCATGTCGTCATGACCTGTATTGTTCTGCTAGTCACTAGTACTGGTAGTAGTCATCATGTTACATCATCATCGTCAGCCGTGCATTATGGGAACGGTGCTGCTCCTGCAAGAAAGAAGGGTGCCCTCCTCGGTCATCATCGTCATGTGAGTTTCTGCTTGAACTACCTATGGTCTCCATGGTAGTTCATATAATTGGTTAAACCAAAACAAGGAACTACAATGGAGACTTTAGGTAGGCTTGATTATGCAGGGACCTCAATCGGGCAATAATGAAGGACTGTATAGGGTTTTTTTTGGGGACATCCATGATGGAGGGGGCTCATGTGCATGCGCTCATGTGTGCTGTTTGGGATTATGGTTTAGGGTTTAGTTCAACTGTCAATCATGCTCACATAGCCAACGGAACATGAACCAGTATGAAGAAGGGAACTAGGGCCAGGGCGCCCTGAACCCTGAAGCCCTGAAGCCCTCATGGCCTCCAATGTCCTGCCATTTTCGGTCATGAAGGTTGACGACCGACAAGAAGACCAGCATTGCAAAGAAGCTCGGCGCCAAAGCCGAGGCGCATCGGCTCTTGTTTTCTTGGTTTCTCTTGTGATTTCTTTTATTTTTGTTACCATCTTCATACTGCTGCGTTTTTTAAAAAATTCCTGTGGTTTCTAGTACAGTTGCTATCATGACTGCCCCCGTTATCCTTCCTATTCATGATGAATTCTGCTGTCAGGGTCTCTGTGGGCATAGAGGCCTCAATGTTTCAATACTACCTATAGTCTCCATTGTAGTTCCTTTTTTTGGTCTAACCAATTATATGTTAAGGATTTTATAAAGGAACTGCCATGGAGACTATAGGTATTCCTGATAACTGAGAGTTCCTTATTAATATATTTCTCGTATCATATTCCCCCCGAAGCCCTACTCGAATCATTACGGCCCCCTACTTTACTGTGTTCTTGTGAGTGACATCTCTTACTGTCACCTTTGTTACGAAAATGAGCTCAAGCTAGTTACTTAGTGTTGTTGCTGCGAGTATTGCATCTACCTTCGGTTGAAAACTATGGATTATTAGCCATGTGCTATAAGATATCATGTCCATCACTGGTTAAAATTGAACTATGAGTATTTCGATTACTTTAGCTACGATTTTGCCAGTGGCATAGTCGTTTTCGTGTTGTAATTAACCCTAACCCTAAACCATCAAGAGGGGGCTTGGGGCTAGGAGCTCAACTAGCGTGTTTCGAGTAAAGTCTTGCAGGTTCTGCTCTTTCCGGGCCTTTCGGGCGATATTGGCGTCGAGATCTGTGGTTTCAGGGTTAGGGTCTTACGTCTCCATTGTAGTTCCTTTTGGGGGATACCTTATAAACTCCTTGATATATATTCGGCTAAACCAAAGAGAGGAACTACAATGGAGACTGTAGGTAGGGTCTGGTTTTAAAGATTTAGTGACCAGGATGTTCGGTCTTAGGATTTGGGTTTCAAAAGATTTCTATAAAATGGTTTGAGGGCTAAGGATTTAGACTCTCAGATTTTGGGGTTGAGGGTTGGCTAAAAGCTCCTTTAAAGAACAGGGGCTGTCAGTACTAGGCCGAAAACTTCTGTAAAACCAAATTCCCCCTAAACCCTAAACCCTGATCCCTACACCCTCGACCCTCAACCCTCAACCCCCCAAAAGAGAGCCCTAAACAAAAGCAGCCCTACGCCCTGAACACTAAGTCCTACGTCATAGGTTCCGGGTTGTCGTGGGGAAGCCGTTAGTTTTCGGGGGTGCTTGTGGCTTGAAGCTGAGGTGAGAGTGGCAAAAATTCGGGGACCTTTAGGGAGAGAACTCAGAGCCCTAAACCCTAAACCGGTTCAGGGTTCGGGGTGCAGGGTTTCGGCTTCGGGTCCAGGTTGGTTTAGGGCTTAGTTTCAGGTTTGGGATGGTTTAGGGTTTAGGGTTGATGTTCAGGGCTTGGGTTTAGGATGGTTTAGGGTTTAGGAGCCTCCTAAACCCTAAATCCTAAACCCTAAAACCCTAAAACCCTAAACCCCTAAAACCCTCAACCCTAAAACCCTAAAACCCCCAGAAGTTTCAAGAAGCTTCGAAGAGGAGCAGAAGATGAAGATGCAGAAGGCATCCGAGGCCATGGATGCCCTGCCGGGGACCCTGTGTTTGTTTCGGACGCAGGCTGTTGTTTTTTTTTGGGGTTTAGGGTTTAGGTTTAGGGTTTAGGGTTTAGGGTTTAGGGGGTTGGGGTTTGGCCTTTAGGGTTCAATCCTTTTGGGGTTGAGGAATCCTAGAAGGGAATTCGGTGAGGGATACGGTACTAATTAAGTTTGGATGGGGTTTTGGGCTTTGGGGTTTAAGGCTTTTCGGCTGTTGCGTTCAAGGTTTGGGGTTTTGGTGTTCAGGGGTGTATAGGGCATTGGGTTTTGGGGCCCGGTATGATCTGAGCTTCCGGGTCTGTTTGGAGTTTGCAGTTGTTGGGCTTCAGCAGGGGTTGCTTCGGAAATGAGGCGAGTCCTCGGGTTTGGGGGCCCGCGGATTGGGGTTTAGGGTTTAGGGTTTAGTCTAGGACATCTTCAGGTGGGTAGTTACCGTTATAGGAGCCTTATAGAAGGTCTATATACCTTATGGAAGCCCTATATACCCTAAACTCCCCACCTGTAGTTTCCTTTAATTTAAGGGTTCCTATAAAGGTTCCTTCTCTTCCATCTCAGGGCTTTGCGCCTTGAGGCTCCCCTAAACCCAAGGGACGAGAGGAGGGACCCCTAAAGGGACCCTTGGGGTTATGTAGGGGCTTTATGAGACTATATAAGGGATATATAAGGGTTTTATAGGGTATTTGGATTAGGGGTCCCTTCTAGGGGTCCCTTCTGGGTCCCTCCTATTGTCCCTTTATAAACCCTAAACCCTGAACCCCAGCCTTTACACAGCATCAGGATTTGAGAGCTCACAACGTCCGAGCCCTCCCTTGCAGCCCAAGGTTTAGGGTTTAGGGTTTAGGAAGGGTTTAGGGTTTAGGGGTTAGGGTTTAGGGTTTAGGGTTTAGGGTTCAGGGGTTT